TTGAAGGGAAGGTAAGTCTGGACCTCTGACTGAGAGTAGGAGAGTTGTTTAGGGGCATTGCGTGGCTAGAAAGGAGTCCACTCTTGAGGCGAGAAGGTTGCACTGAAGTAGTCTATCCATGTGAACTATTCTTGGTATAGGGAGTAGGGAAGTGACCCAATGACGATTAGGCCTATAGAGTGTGGTTTGTTGCTAGAGGACTAGCAACGATTTAAGTGTGGGGTGTTGATAATAGGCTATATAGACGTTATTTACACTCCAAATGTACCATACTTTATTGTTGTTTTAAAGGATAAATGATAACAAAATACTCTAATTGGTGTTCTTTTGCTTTGCAGGGACTAATCCAAGTTAGGAAGAGACTATGGAGTGTTTTTTAGTCAATAATCTGGATATAAGGCCAATCAAGAAGAACCCAAACGAAAATAAGCAAGAAAGAGGCAAAGGAGGACTTGGCAAGAAGCCACCGCGACTGCGGTCGACCGCGACTGGACCGTGGTAGGCCAAGAAAGTGAGACAGAATAGTTGTGTTTCACCGCAGTCGCACCGCGTTCAGCCGTGACCGCGGTCGACTGTGTAACTGCCCAGAAATTTTGGGACTAAAGTGTAAATCGAGGGAAACTTATCCTAGCCCTTTATAAACTCAACAAACTCGCCCAAGAAAAGATTAAGCTTGTTTTTAGACTGAATTGGAGGCAAGAACAAGTGTGAGAAGAGCAATCAACCATTAGAGTTTTTCAATCTTCTCTTTGTTATCTTATTTTGCACATTATGAATACTTTAGTAATTTCATCTTGCTTTGTTATGAGTAGCTAAATACTTTGTCTAGGGTTTTGATGGAACCTATTGAAGGATGAACTTCATGTTATGCTAATATAGTTTGCCCAGTTTATTCTCTATTTGTTCAACTACGTTCTTGTTGTGGTTAATTGATAGGATCCTCAATTAGTTGTGCCTAATTAGTATGTATTACTCGGGGGAGAGCGCATATTTAGGTAATTGTTGAACAACACCACTCCCAATGTATATGAGGGATCAATAACTGAGGGTTTAAAGGCGGGATTAGGGATAACGAAGCATTGGGTGCAATCTAAAGTGAGCTGTAATAAAAGCCAGCTAGCGTAACTCGAGAGAGTGCGTCTAGTAAATTGTCGTGATTACTCGGGAGAGATTTACAGTAATAAGAGTGTCATGATCGATAGAGACAGTTAGGCGAATCTATATGAAACATAACAGGAAGGGATTCCATCAATAGAGGAAATCATAACCTTAGATCTTTCTCTTAATTGTTTACAACTTAATCATAGTTAGTCTTTATTTACTTAATTGCAGTAAGGTATAGTTAGTAAAAATATCCTCAATTGTTATTGACAACGTTTGGGAAGTTGATTGCGTAGAATTTAGTGAGTCTAACAAGAGTAATTGATAGGTTAATTCCTTGTGGGTTCGACTCTGGGCTAAATATTCAAATTATATTTGCAACAACCGCTTTGTCCTTTTTATAAGGCTTAGTTGGGCGTGATCAGTGACCAACAAAGAATGTAATAGAGTGGTAAATATTCTTTCATTCTTAATAAGAGATCTTGGGTTCTAGAAATCATTTTCTGTTGGGGAGTGCTTGTCGGCGTGAATTCGAATTTAATCAGGACTCCAGTATCCGACTTTCTGGCGCGAATCCAAATTTAATAAGACCTCAATGTATGTACTGACTGACAAACTTTTTTTTTAATTCTGATTGGCATTTATATCAAACCAATGAACAAATGCATTCGTCTTTGCATTTACATTTATGACTTAGCTAATTTTGATCAATATCATTAACTAATACAATTTGACAAACATTGAGTATGTACACATTTTCCCTAAACCTGAGGATAAAAGTTTCAAAGAGTGTGTAAATCATATAAGATTACTGTTAACATATAAATTACTCTAGTCTAAGTAAATTTCTCTCTCTCCCAGCAGTTGAATTCTTGTGCTTTAAAACTCTGGAGATCATTAGGAGCTTGCTTTAAAATTTTGGCATAGAACTATTTTCTCAAACCTTTTTTAACGGGGTCAAAATCTAAACGATAATTTTTAACAAGTCCATCCAGTGTAAATTCTTGCTAAATTTTCCTAAAATAAACCAAGTCCAAATCCATATCTGAGCGCCCATAGCTCACCCAAAACAGAAAATTACATCCAATGACCTTGAAAATAGATAATTTTAATTTTTTGACCCTCGTTTGTTGTCAGGGGCGGCTCAAGAACATGCGGGGCCTAAAGTCAAAGTTTAATATGAGGCCTAAATTTTTAAAAGAAAGTTATAAGATTATTTTTATTTGAAATCTATTCTTCTAACTTTTTGAGATGCAAAATTGTTAATAATCTTTTTTACAAACAACTTTTTCTAATACAATTCATCATTTAATCTTTCTTGAGAAATTGTTGATCTTAGATAAGATTTTATAGAGCAATAGAAGTATAAAACTATTGAAAGCTTAAAAGTATTGTTGAACACTTGAACTAATGCAATTTTGGAGAAATAATGTAAGTAAGAATATCAAAGAGAAAATATGTAGGAGTTTCTGAAATATGAAGAGATTGGAAATAAAAAAGATTGACTTGGGCAATTAAGGAAGAGATACACGTTATCTAATGAAGGAGTAAAAAGTGAAAAAATTGAAACGTTAGGAAAACTATTCATCTACTCATTTTAAGTAAGTTAAGTTATTACTTTATTTATATATCTAAAAAGTTTTCTTTCTTTTTATATTTAAAACTATATTTTTATATTAAAAGTACTAAATAATATTTTTTAAATACCTATAAACCTATTATTTTTAAAAAATGGGGCCCCCAAATTTGGGGGCCTAAGGCACAAGCCTTACCTTCCATATATTGGAGCAGGCTCTGCTTGTTGTATGAATAAATCTTCAAGATCAAGGGTGTGTTTGGTATAACGGAAAATATTTTCCGTGGAAAATGTTTTCCAAGAAAATATTTTCTTGAAAAACAAGTAGTAATCTTATTCATTTTCCGATGTTTGGTACGCAAAATAAGAAAAATGACTTCTCAAGAGTATTCATAAATAATTTAGATATAATAACATGAAGCCATAAACTTTCAAACCAACAACCTTCCGAACCCACATTTTTCATAAACTTTCGAACGCTAAACTTTCGAAACCGCAGAATTTCTAACCCGTAAACTTTATAATTTCTAAACTCGTAAACTTCCAAACACATAAACCTCCGAACTAACTTTGGAACATGTAAAATTTTGAACCTTTAAACCGATAAATAAAAAAACTAAAACTGAAAAATATATTAAATTTTTTTTTCCGGGGCGGGGGGGGGGGGGGGACAGTTGGGGGGTGGGTGGTGCATAAAACGAAA